TGTATAGACAGGTGTGTGGCTTTCCTAATCACGTCCAATCAGTATAATCAAACACCGCTGGACTCAAATGAAGGTGTAGAACCATCTCAGGGATGATCAGATGAAATGGACAGAGCCTAAGTTAAATATATGAGTGTCACAGCGAAGGGTCTGAATACTTATGACCATGTGATATTTCAGTTTTTCTTTTTTAATAAATCTGCAAAAATGTCAAAAATTCTGTGTTTTTCTGTCAATATGGGGTGCTGTGTGTACATTAATGAGGAAAAAAATGAACTTAAATGATTTTAGCATATGGCTGCAATATAACAAAGAGTGAAAAATTTAAGGGGGTCTGAATACTTTCTGTACCCACTGTATAACCACTTAGCCGAAACATTCCTACAACAACACAACACAGCACACAGTGGGCTCTTTTTTCCTGCCAGTGCAGCTTCAAACTGTCTTTATGCAGTCGTCCTCAGGTGCATTTTGCGCATTGGTGTGTTTGGTATTTTCCTGCTATGAATACAATTACACTGAGGTGGGAGAAGAGGCACAGTGGAGGCCGTGTCTATACTGATTAGGCAGTGCAGCGCAATTTTGGTGGTGGTTTTGACCCAAAATAGTGATAACAGCTGCTCAGACCACCTATAATCGTTATATCACAGGTATGTTTGCTCTGCTGGAATTCACTGTGAATAATTTATTGAGAAATTATCTGAATTGTGATATTTGTGTGATAATTTAGAAAGATTATTTTTAAGATAAATAAACTAGTCATCAGTATGTGGCTCTAGATGCGACTATTGTCAAGCATGTGGTTAAACGCTTAAAAAGTTACAAGCACATATGCCTGAGACCCCCATGGATTTCGCACACTGGATGCAACTGTGAATAAATTACACTATATAACTGCTGCTAGTTACAGGGTCAGAGACTCTTTATCTTCCATTCATAAAGGCTGCTCAGTGATATTAGCAGACTGCTGAATGAATATTTATGTGCAGTACTTCTACATAGCTAGTTTTGTCATGGCCAATCTAGGAATAGAGTACATAAATGACAGGAGAAAGAATCTTTCCTCTCATATAATTCCATGTCCTGACATCAGTGACAGCAGTCAGTCAGGTTTCTGTCCTGCTCTTTAAAGGAAATGAGAAGAGCCGGTTTGATTGGACATAACTAAAGCCACCCCCAACTCCTCCTGCTCACCTCTAATAATTATTCTGCCTGTTCTCCACAATGCGCCCAGTAACTCCTGGCTGTGCACGAAGGTCTACTGCGTCTGTTGTCACCGCAATTGCACAAAATTGTTGCCTTGCACCAGGAGTTTGGACATAAGTTTAGCACTGTGCCTTGCTTCAGGAAAATAGAGCCCAATGAAGGCTTTCCACCCTTAAATGCACCAGACATTCAGTTTATTTTTACATTAGATTTGACTTAGAAGAAATGGTCCCTGTTTGCAGAGACCTTACACACAATAAAGAGACCACTTCTCATCCGAATTAATTTGACAGGTCCTCTTGACCAATCAGAACCGTCAACGATTCTGATTGGTTGGGGGCGGGACTAAGGACCGGAAGACTATTCTGATTGGTCAAGATGACCTGTCAAATTAATTCGGATGAGAAGTGGTCTCTTATTGTGTGTGACCTTAATTCCTCAGCTGGTCTCATGCTCAGGGTTAGTGCTGTAGTCCACCTAAACTAAGACCAAGTCAAGACCAGGACCAGACCAGTGCAGTTACTTTACACTGAATCTGATAGTTTGAGAGGACTGGCTCATCAGTGTTTCACTGACACTAATGGCACTATATAGGAGTGAAGTTACTGAATATCATTCCCTAAAAAAATCCCAAAAATTATGCAAAAATTGTTTGTTTGCCCAACCCCCCTCCCAAAATTAAGTGTTTTACTATAACCAAACTGCACTGAATTTGACTGTAGGCCTACTACACTATATAAGAGTTATTTGGGTTATTTAATATTTTTGTAGTAGCCTCTCTCTTTTCAGTGTTGCACTTTGTAGACAGTCCCTGCGCGTTGGTCTTACAGCCAGCTGCACAGACACCAGTGTTACTTGACCAGTGAATGTGGATATGTGGGTGAAGCTCGGAGGATGGCTCATTTTGATCAAAATTGGGCTGTAGCTTGTTTTCTACCTTATGGTTGGAAATAGGCGCCATTTGCATTCTAACTGTTTCCCTATGGCTTATTGATCAGAGAACTTAGAATCTAATGTTGTAGTCCAGCTTCCCAGGCTAACACAACTTAATTCAGTACATACAGTATCTTTGTTAGGTAGGATAGCAAATTCCGTAGCTGTAAAACAGGCCACATTTGTTTTATTTTCTTTCGATTTGCTTTTATTATTAAGATATTAATCCACTCTGGGTGTAACTATGATCAGTCACACAGATGTTTGTCCAAACACTGACTGTTGATTGCAGGTCATTCCTGTTGCAAACTTAAGTTTCTGTTTGAGATCAAGCATAGAATTGTTGTCATTATTTTTCCTTCCATTCTGATGTGTCACCTTTTTTACGTTAACAAATAAAACTGATAATGCACAGGTACTTTCTCCACAATTATGGTCTTGACTGGTCTCAAAATAAAATCCCACTTTGTCCAAGACCTACACAAGAATGAGTGAAAATGTGGTCGATTCCAAGACAAAACCAAGACCCAAAAGTGGTCTTGAGATGATCTGGAGTACTACAACACTACTCGGGGTGCTTGTGCCATCTAGTGGTGGCTGCTACTTACTGACCCTGTACAGTAGTAGCATTTTGAAGCTGCTGTTTTTACCTTGATAATGGTTCTTCTACCTTTCTGCAGGTATCTGGTACAACCTCTTGAGAGGCCTCAGCAAGGCAGCAGTCATTGTTAATGTAAGTCTTATATATCTTTATAGTTAATGTGCAGTTTTACTCCTAAAACACGCCAGGGCTGGTCTAAAACTACTCTAACACAGGTGTGTCTGAACATGTAGCATCAAGTCTATAATCATGGGCCATGAGCCTGAGCTTAACAGACTACTTTAGTGAGTGAAATTACTTTGTGGTGTACACTTTTATCTGTAGTGAGATGTAAATGTTGGGAACAGTGATTCCAGAGCTTGGATTGAAAAACTGTTCAGTTAGGTGTAATGGAGATTCAGAGCTTTTGTTGAAAGTATTCTGATGACCAGTGAGATTGGCTAAACAGAGTTCTGCTAACCACTCAGGGTTGCTCAACTCAACAAGGCTGTGACCCTTTACGAATAGTGACACCTAGCATTCACATTAAGAACTGCATTTAATGAACCAGCAGGGCCAAATATAATTTGACTTATAAAATAATTCAGGACTGTATAAATTAAGCTCTTGTTTTGGGCAACCTTAGTCTTACACACAGTTGGAGTATGAAACTGAATGCAAATATTTTTGTTTTGTCTTCTGTAAATCAAGAAATGAGGAAGAGTCATAGTTTATGTGACGATAAGCAGTTTTCTCTTGCTCAGGCCTTTGTCATCTCCTTCACGTCTGACTTCATTCCCCGGCTGGTCTATCAGTATGTGTACAGCCCTGATGGCAGCTTGCATGGCTTCGTCAATCACACTCTGTCTTACTTCAACGTCTCTGACTTCCAGCCGGGCACCGACCCTCTGGAGCCAATGCACCTGGGATACAAGGTAGAAATATGCAGGTAAGGTTTCACAGTTGACGTTTTCTCATGCCAAAACCTGCCAAACCATTACTTCTCTCTCCTGTAATCACAATGCCTTTACAGCAGTACATGTCATACAGTCAATATTTCTGACTTGGAATGTTGATTTTCTTAATCTTTATGTGGCATTCTAACAGCTGTAAAGCATCAAATGAAACTCTTTTAAATGTTTCTAAATACATCATATGCTGCAACTAATGTTCCTCCTACTGTATCTCCAGATATAAGGACTACAGAGAGCCTCCCTGGTCCAGCACACCGTATGAACTCTCTAAGGAGTTCTGGGCCATTCTGGCTGCCCGCCTTGTCTTCGTTATCGTCTTTCAGGTTCAAAACGACACACAGATATTAAAACAAACATGTGACCAAGTCATATTTATTATGTGGAATATGAATTCATTATTAACTGAGTGAAAACATAATGAGTCTTGCAGATTGGCTTGGACATGACTTGTAGCTGTCTGCTTCTCTCTGCTTGTTTCAGTTTCCTGATCTGATTCATTTCAGTAACTAACAGGCAGTAGACCTGATGTTTTACACCCAAAGGCCAGAGTAGCCCACAGATGTGCAAGGCAGTGTATTTTTAGAACACATTTAGGAACAAATAAGTTTGATCAAAATGCTTTCCAGAGAAATGACAATCACAAATGATAACAGACATAATTATGATAAATAAGTCATAATTTTAAGATATAAGAAAGTTTTGAATTTTATTATGAGATATTAAACAATTAACACAAAAAGCTAAATGGAAATGTTAGAATCCGCTCGCACACGGAAGTGAGTGAGCGGAAAAGAGAGGCGGACCCAGGTAGCCGACTTCAGTGCAAGCAGTGATTTAATAATACACAGTGCAGTTTAGTGATGACAACAAGTACGTGGGTGATAGTGGAACAGAGTAATCGAGTGTCGACCAGCAGCAGGAGTAGAGGGATGATGAGTTGAATGAGGTAGGCCGAGCTGCGTCGCGGGGTCACTCCTGGGCTGGTCGGTGGGTGATGGTAGCTACTGGCAAAACACAAACAGAGGAGTTGGTATGGCAGACAACTGGTGACTGTGCATCGACCTGTCTGGGAGGGTAGAGTCGAGCCAAGGTCCGGAGGAAAAACAGTTCAAGAGGGGGGAAAAAAGGAGCTGGCTAGAGCAGGTGAAATTCACGGTAATCCTGGGCATACACAACGGGGAAACTGGAAATACACAAAATACCAAAACGAAGAATAATCATGAAGGGAGACGAAGAGATGGCCTGAGAACGTGAACAAACTGGCAGCGAGTGAAAAGTGAGCAAGGTATAAATAAGGTGGGGGACTGAGTGAATGCAGCTGGTGATAATTAAGGAAACAGGTGGCAGGTGTGTGAGGTTGAGTGAGCGAAGACAGAAGAAGTGAGAAAAGGCAGGTGTAGCTGAGCAACCCTGACAGGAAACTTCAGCTTACTGTATCAAAAGTAGGAGTTTTAGTTTAATCATTAAAAGCTTTTAATTTGTTAATTTTTCTGACAGGAAGTGGCCTCTACCACTACAGCCGGACTTGATAATATTGATCTGTGCTACCTTTACATATGTTTTGCTGTGTAAATGACATTGCTCAATTTGCAACTGTTACACTACATTTCAGGACATCACAGATAAATTTGATCATTTTCCATCAAAGATGTAAACAAACCACAACACGTGACTGCTGGGTACATGATATTTCACACTCTGTGGTTCTATGCATTAATGAGGTGTCCATCTGTGAGGTGTTCCAGTCTGCTCTGTTTGCTCTGTCCTTTGCAGAATGTGGTGATGCTTATGAGTGACTTTGTGGATTGGCTGATCCCGGACATCCCCAAAGACATCAGCCTCCAGATCCACAAGGAGAAGATCCTAATGGTGGAGGTCTTCATGAAGGAGGAGCAGAACAAAAGGTGTGCAGCACAGGACAACCGCTCCTCTCCCTCGTCAACCAATCAGAGCCCGCTGCAGCCTCGTTCACGGCCTGTTTCGCATGCTAACTGTTGAATTGCTAGCTGCTGGTTTCTAAAAATAAGCACATCCATTAACACGTGGTCTGTAATCAATAGCAAGATTTTACTGCATTCACCTTGTTTTGGGAATATTTCCAGGAATGACCTGGAGATTAAATCCTAAACCTCAATGTGTTCATGTTACAATTCCTTCACTGAGAAACTGGTTATTTACCTCCTTTTTTTTTTTTTTACACTTTTCCCAATAATCTGTTACACCAGCCAGCCATTGTCAGCCATTAATGAAAAATCCTATAGACAGCACATTATTTATTAGATGCATTTAAAAGGAGCAAGGCATTAACTTCGTTTTACTGTGTTCTTTCCTTGTTGATGAGACCCAAGACAAGTAAGAAAATGGTGCCAAATCCTACTTTCATGAACATGCAACTCATGCATTCAAGCAGAAATTTCATACCTGCTACTTCTCCCATGGCACTTAAATGCAGCTTTTGTATCAAAGACGGCCTCCACCTGTTAATCCAAAGGAAGAAGAATTTCACTGGGTGAGATACGACACAAAAGGAGATCCTTCCTGCTGCCGTCAGTGTGTAAAGTCCAGACAGGCTTTTTTTTTGCACACGTATATTCAGGCATTTTGTCTGTTATGATGAACAGCAGGTTTTGTTAGACGTTCTGAGTCGAGGGGCACTATCCTGTCGCATGAGCACCACAGTGTGCACTGTTACATTTGATGGAGATAATATAATTATCTGTTCAGGAGTGAGACCTAACCTGAACTACACCTCTTCAGTTTTCACACTATTTAAACTCACTGAAGCCGCAATACTTCCAATTCAGCTTTTCATTACCCCCACCCCAAGATTCTGATCTTTTTCCCTCTGTTCTTCTGTCCCATCTGAGGGTCTGCCAGTGCCTGAGAGTGGACCTCAGACCTCCATAACATTGCCCAGGACCGTCATGCACACAAGCAACCAAGTATACACAAGCATTCAGTAACATAGTTCATTCATTTGTGCTTAGTGAGGGCAGGCCCCTGCTAGTCAGTTACATTTTATGAAGAAACAAACAGCCCTACAGTGCTCAGTGCCATTATTCCTGGAAGCACAAGTCACATTATTATTTATTCTAATGAACTGGAATTGCAGTTGGCAAGATTTACATGTACACATAGTGACATCATGCTCCATCTCACCTAGCTGTGTGTGCTGTTTACCCTTACCAACATCTCATGTTGGGTATGAAGAGAAACCTTTCCCGCACGTAAAATAAGAAAATGAAGATAATTCCAGTGGTCTTTCTGAAAGCTGCATCAACTGATGTTTGTTCACCCAGGAACAAGCTTGGAATACAATACATAAATGCCAATGCTGCTCTGTGTCTCGTAGCAACTCCAATCTTTAATATTTTGCCTCTTCGGTGACCACTGGCTTCTGCAACTTTAACAAGTCCAGAAAATGACAAGCACATGGTTTTGTTTCACTGATTAAAACTATAATATCCATTCAGTGATACTCAGTAATGCAAGTACCATCGACAGTTAGCCGCTGTAAATGAGATGTACTGTATGTTTAATCATTTTTGGCACAGGTGTGCTGACAGATTTAAGGTTGTGTACTGAAAAAGTAATGAATAATACTTGTGTTTCAAGTCATTTGTAGTGGTGTGCGTGCCTACAGTGTGCGACATTGTGCTCATATAACAATACGATACAATACAATGGGGCTCAGGAGGTAGAGCGGGTCATTTCCTAACCGGAGGATTAGCGGTTCGATTCCCGGCTTGTCCAGTCAACATGTCGAGGTGTCCTTGAGCAAGACACTAAACCCCCAGTTGCTCCCGGTGATGTCACCGGTATGTGAGTGTTTGGGCGTGCGAATGGGTGAATGGCCAAATAATGTGAAAGCGCTTTGAGTGTGCTGTAAAAAGCATAGAAAGGCGCTATACAAGTATAAGACCATTTAGACCATAGAAAGTTGTATCTTGGAACAACTGGGACTGAAGAATCTTGCACTGTTGGTTTTAGTCTCTGTACTGAATCCTGTACCAATGTAAGATTCTAATTTAATGAGACTTGCATTTTCACAGTAAGATTTCCTTCATGTCACTAGAAAGGTGTGTCTTGCCCAAGGTCACCTCGGCAAGGTGTCTTACCCTGCCTTATTCTCCCTGCTGCTCCAGGGATTCAAACTCTCGACTCATTGTCTACTCTACAGTATCACTGGTTCGTTTAGCAGTTTTCATACAGAGCTACACGGTCAGTCATTTAAATCAGGAAAGTCAACTCTGCCTCTATATTATCTTGCCTTATATTAACCTTATACAGCAAATCATTTGGGATTTTCTTAACGCTGCAACTCTTTAACTATTCAGGTACAATGACTGATCAATATTTTATTTCTGGATTTACCAAACAACAAAAACCTATGTGGGATCTCAGTGCTGAACAAGGTATACAGTATGCACCACAGACTGAGATGTGCAGTCACATGGACAGTCTACGGCGTGTTCCTGTACCATTATCCATTATCTATACTGCTTATCCTGCACCCTGCTATACATATATACAGTGAGTACCCCAAATTCAAACCCTCACCAAAGACTGACAGAATGTATTATTACATTTTTACAGTAATTTTCAGTGATATATAATCCATTTTCTGTAAAAAAAAAAAAAAAAAAAAAAAAAAAAAAAGTTTCATGACGGTCTATTTCTTATGTATCTGTTGAAAGAGTTGTATTGATCCACAGGAGACAACTGATCTCTCAACTGGAGACATTCACAATGTCAAGGATATATGTTATTTAACTGTGCTGATTTTAATTCTTTATTTAATATACTAGAAGTCATCAACATGGACCTATTTTGATGTATCTGCAAGAATGCCTGGGAAAACAACTGCCCACAAAGACATTTTGTCACAAAAGGCATTACTCCCTCATTTGCACAAAAACATTCAGATTTTTTCTTTATCAAATCCTAATACTGTTAATGTTGTGTCTGTATGTAGAGCTAATGTTGATATTCAGTGATAGAGCATGTGTCCCACAGGGCTGGACAACCTGACTGAGTTGATGTCACATGTGAAGACTGTCTTTCCATGGCCTTCATGAAATGTCCTCCTCCTGCTGTCTGCTGTTATGTTATAATGTTTTATCGATGCTGGAAATACAAGTCGTCACATGCCAGTTAACATTTATAATGTATGTCCATGGCACGTACCTTTCACACCACACAAGTGTATGTGCACGTTTAACTAATTTGTTTCTGATATTTTGTGTTTACTAACTGCAAATAAATAATTGATGAAATGCCTGGAGTGTACACATTTATTAAAACATTTTTGCATTTCACTTAATATTGGTACTTTGATCAATTGCGAGTTTGAATTACTGAACAATCTTTTATCACTGCTGAAAGCTGTTATCAAACAGTGGACATGGAAGAATCTTAAATATGAATATACTGTTTTAGTGACACTCTTTAACAATATGTTATTTCATAGTTTGATATCTTTCATATTAATCAACAATGTAGAAAATATCACAAAGTAAAACCAATGAGGGTGTGTACAAACTTCTGACTGGTACAGTATAGTCCAGTTCACATTCACATCAGTCTGGCAGTAATGGAGAAATGGGCTCACTGTATGTGGGCACAGCAATGTGGTTAGTGCTGTCACCTCACAGCGAGAAGGTGCTGCGTTTGAGTCCCGACTCGGACCAGGTGCCTTTCTGTGCAGCCAGTTTGCATGTCCTGTGCATGTGTGGGTTCTCTCTGGGTATACATGTCAGCTCTGTGACAGACCTGTCCAGGGTGGACCCTGCCTCTCACTCAGTGTCAGCTGGGATTGGCTTCAGGAATAAGCAGTATAGATAATTAGTGGATGTTATTGTATTATTTTTAATATAAAATTTTAAAATAAAGCTTTTGTGTTAACCTCTGCTGTATTGTTACTTGAAATCATTTTCTGAAATGAAACAAAGTATTTGCAACAAAGAACATTGAGGCAGCATTCTATTTAAGTGCTTTATTAGAAGAATATTACTTACATTACTACAGACCCGCGACCCGGTCCCGGATAAGCGGAAGAAAATGGATGGATGGATACTACAGACACTGTAAATAGCTGGGTAAAAGTGCAGCATTTTACTGGTAATGCTGTTGTTTTACTTAACATTTAAGTTCATGCAGAAGAAAAAAAAAACTGCATGTGAATCAGGCGTCTTGGAGGGTTCCTGCGAAGTTCCAGAGTTTCACAGAAACCCGCCAGAGTAACACACGGAAGTGAAAGTAAAACTGACGTGTTTCCTAGTTCAGACAGGGCAGCTCGGTGGCTCAGGCCGTGTGGGAGACATGAGCTCTTTAGCGTTAAACGCCGTTTTACTGGAGATTTCTAAGCAGCTCGCTGATGAGCAGCTGGACAACCTGAAGTTTCTGTGTGGAAACATGATCGGGAAGCGAGAGCTGGAAAAGGTCAAGAACGGAACAAAGCTGTTCCAGCTTCTGATGGAGAGGAATAAACTGGGAGCCGACACAACGGAGTATCTGTCCGAGCTTCTGGAAAAAATCGGTCGAGACGATCTTTCAGACAAATTAAAGAACTTTCAAAGTGAGTGTGGACACACCGACAATCAACCGGACGAAACGGAGAAAGGTGGGTACAACATGAGCGTCAGAGTGCACAGC